GGGAGGGAGGGAGGAAGGGAGATGTTTTAAAAGATGAAGGACAAAGAGAATAAATACAGGCATGAGAGAGGGAAAAGGGGAGAAAGAGAGAAGAGGAGAAGGAGAGGGGGGGGACGGGAAGAGACGGGGGTTGGAAGAAGGAGGGTAAAAGGGGTTGTAGGGGGGAGGATGATGGAAGAAGGAGATGAAGGGATAGGAGAGGGTTGGAGGAGGGAAGAAGTAGCATAAAGAGAAGTTGGAGGGATGGAGGGAAGGAGTTGTAGGGGAGGTGACGATGTGTCAGCTATGAGTCTGTCTTGTCCTACCCACCGACATGCTGCAGATCTGGACAAGGCACTAATGTCTATGAGACGACCATGGGACATTCTTTACATGGCCGCGATTAGAGGGGAGAGTTTGGGAGGAGGGTGATGGGTGTGAGGGGCAAGGATGTAGAGAAGGAGGCAGAGAGAGAGAGAGAGAGAGAAAGAGAGAGAGTGAGAGAGAGGGTGAGAGAGAGAGAGAAACAGAGACAGAGAGACAGAGGGAGAGAGGGGGGAGGTAAGACAAAGGGGAGGAGGTCGGGGGCTCATAGATATAGACGAATTGATAGACAGGTTGACAGATTGGCCCACTGACAGACAAACAGACAGTAATACAGTAGTCTAGAAAAAAGAGAAAAAAATGAAACAGAAAAATGAAAAAAGCACACAAGAAAGAAAGATACAGAAGCAAACAAACAAACAAACATACAAACAAACAAACATACAAACTACGATACAAAAACACAAAGAGTGGGGAAAAACCCCCATGTTTTTCCCATCTTAGAGTTGCCCATTCCTGGAGTGCTGCCGATTTGCGGTAATCCCGTGGCATTTGCACGTACCAGGAACGTCTAGTGGATGGAGGCCGCCAGGGATGAGCGGGGAATGTGGATTAGGAGCAGGGGCGGAAACTCTAGAAATTCGCCGTCATTACTGTCAACTGGAACTTTTTTATGACTAACAGCTTTGTGTAGAGCGTTTGTCTCTCTCTCTCTCTCCCTCTCTCTCTCT